CTTGGTAAATCTGGGAACAGGAGATGGGAAACTGAATGGAGACAAAACTGGCTTGCAGCCAGCCTTTTCTATTATCCTTCAGTACTTCTGTGAATTAACAAAATGAATGGACTCTCTTGCCCCTCTAGTTATTAGACAAGGCCTACTGTTTTCATATCCTTTCATATCCGATAGGTCATGTGCTGTGTACCCCGTTGAGGTCCTGGAGTTAGGGTCTCTAGGGGGGATATTACTATGTCTCTCCCTGGATGAGAGCTGTATAAGAGATTGGCTTGAAAGCCCTGGCCCATCTAGATTTTTACTATTGTTTGAATAACCTCCTTTAAAGCCTTTAGTTATATTGTTTCCAATTATACCATTTTGAAAACACTTCAAGATTGCTTTAAAATGTTATGGACCTCAGAGACTTGCTCTTCAGTCATGCTTTCCTGTCTGCCTTCATCTCTGTGTTGCTTGTTTCTTTATGCTTATACTGTAAGCTCTTTCAGGCAGCCCCTGGCACAGTGACCACTGATCCCTGACTGAGGCTCCGTGTGCACATAATACCAACAAACAATAAAAGTCAGGACTTAACATGGGGAAACCCAATTACCAGCCTAGACCCTATGGTTTCTACTTCAATGCCAAGATGTGATGAGGTACTGTGGGAATATTGCCTAAGCAGTTTGCAGACTAACTTTCTAACTTGTTATAATTATGGCAATCAGGAGGAGAGATGTTATGTCCTCAGAGGCCCGTCCTGAAGTACTGTGAGGAAGCAGGCTCAGCCACTATAGCAGAGAACAGGTTATGCCCCCAACCTCGGCGTGCTCGTCTGAGCTCCTGAATCTGGCAGGAGATGTGTGCCTCCTTCCTAGTGTCTGCTGCTTGTTGGATAAGTGTTTGTCTCCTTTCAGCCTAAAAGGGGACAGAGTTCCCGGACGGGAAGTAATTGCTTTGGAAACTTTGCTGAACATCTGTGTCCAATCAGACCGAACATCTACATTAGGCATAATAGCGGCCCTTTGCCGAGCATCAGCAGTAGCAAGGAGCCTTGGAACAGGCTGCACTTCCGAGTCGGCAGCTCCAAGGGGGTGGTGTTAGGAGAGCAGGCCTCCCGTGGCTTGCAATTGTGGTGGTGCTTTGTTTTGTAGCTTGCCAGTGACAAGCTGCAGAACAAAACCACAAGGCTTGAGATGTAGCTCAACACTCCCGAGTTTGTAGAGCCAAACCACAAGGCAGAGAATTTCAGTAATTATGAGCCAGGAAACCAGTTTTTAGTCCTTTGTCAATAAGGAGAATCCCGGGGCTTTGCCTACTGCATAGGTAGAGGTATGAGAGCTATCTGATGAGTCTCCGTATTTTTCCCCAGAACTATTGTAGAACCAAAAGGAAAGATTACTGAGGGTCTCCCTCAAGCATCTAAGGGGAACAGAGCAGAGGAGTTAGAGGGAAGAGCATAGAGCAAGTACAAATGAAACAAAAAAGAGTAACCAGAACAACTGCAGAGCTGTGTGATAGCTGAGAAAAGCGGCCAGGGAAATAGCCTGGATGAATGACCAGAGAAACAGCCATGCTAAAAGGACTGAAGCAGGCAGGTTGTATTCCCAAGCGTGGATATGGTCTGTATTTATTTTGTACTTGTATTGATCTAGTCAAGAGAAATACTGGTATGTGCTTAGTGGTTCACACAGCACTGGGGCAAATGGACAACTGTGATAAGTATAATTACCTTTTTCTGAGAAGCTCAAAAGCAAAATAGCAAAGCACAAAAACTCTTGACTGTAAACTTTCATGTTTTTTTTTCTTTAACACTATGTGTAAGGTAAAAGTCATGTCTACTTAAATCCAGTCACTTATTTAGACTCTCTTAGAGAAATTTAGTCCAAACAAAAGGCATTTTTGTCCACTTTAAACAGCTTGCAAACCTTTGTTTCGAATTGTTTGCAAAATGTAAGCAATGCCGTATTTAGAGTGTCCCGTGAAAGCTTAATTCAACTCCTTTAAATTTATTTTAGTTACAGGGTCACACACTATTTTTCCAAGGAGTGCCTGCTTAGACCCGTGATAAGATGATTTCACTGAATGAGTAGCTATTCAAGATTTCTGTTTATCATCTTCATTTCTGAGAGACCTGAGGCATGCTTAATGCAAGTGGAATCTGTGATTTTTTTTGATCTTCTTGAAACTGAAAGACCTCTGCTTTACACGTGCCTTTAGGAAATTCCAAAGGTTTAATATTTATCCAATTTTTAATGAATTTTCACAAGGAGACAAAACTCAGCTGACATACCAAATCCCTCAAATCCATTGGTCAAATGGATGTAAGATTTTATTAACATTTGTAAAGTTGTTTTTTTTCCTAATACTTTTTTGAAAATGGTAGGATCGCTTTTCTTAAAACTTAAACTCAGTGACTGGAAATGTGGTGTTATAATGGAAAGTGTTAGACCACTTTGACTTCAGGCATTCTCACTAATTCAGCTATAGTGAGAAAACAGTGAATGTTCATAAGGATTTTTTCTATCTAGGGTCCTGGGAGCACTTAACCATTATCAAAATATGATCTTTGTCCTGGTCAACAGAAGTGTACTGTGTACAGGCAGCATCAAATAAGATAGCTGTGGCATTTGGCCGTCTGAGAGTGTTTGGATAGAAATATGCATCCTTATTCCCTAATTGAGTTTGGTGTGTTAAAGCCTTTTGTAGAGTAAAAGCTGTTTAGAAAGTTCTCTTATGGATCTGAGCTTTCTGAAAGTGTGTGTGTTTTGGTGTCTGACGATATGACTCAGGGCTCAGTGTCAGCATCACCTGTGGTGGCGTTACGAGCTCTCCAAAATTATTGTAATGAACCTAAGATACACTAGGATTTAAGGAATGCCTAAGGGATACTTCTCATAGGCAAGGACATAAAACTGCTTGCCCCATCCCAGAATGCTGAACGACTTGGTCGAGGGACTTTTGCTAAATACAAGCTAGCCCCTTGACGGCAGTAAGCAACGCTGACAAACACTAGCGGGGTAAGGAAAACTGAGGCATTAAGACCTGAAGAGTTGGTGGGAATGAATAAAACATTAAGAGAAGCAGTAGACTAGCAGTGCTAAAAACTGTAAGAGAACAGCTTTAAGGTTTCTTTCATTCTCAGTATGTGTGTAGCAATGCTTTAAGACGACTAGTCAGTGGAAAGGATTAAATTGTTAATAAGGTTGCAAAAACAGCAGAAATGTTCACAAAATAATTCTGCTTGGTATTTGGAAAGAAACAGGATGATGTGTTTTGATCGCAAAAGGATGATGCAAGTAAGTTCCATCCCATTAATAATTAAATGTTTAATATGTAGAAGAAGTAAACATTTTTAAATCAACAGGCTTGATGGTTTGCACCCAAATGTCCTAAAAGAGCTGGCAAGATGATCTCTGTCCTGCTGGTGCTCCTTTTGAATATTTTTGTAAAAGATCCTTTAATAAGGGGAAATTCCAAAGGGTGGATGACTGCAAGCATTGTGCCAGTATTCAGAGGAGCAAGTGAGATGACCCAGGCAAATATACCTCAACCAACCTGACTTTAGTTCTGGACAAACTTGTACAAAAGCCTACTGGGCACTCATTATGACATTAAGAGACAGGTGCATGAATGCCAGTGAACATGATTTTAAGGAATGAGAGACTTGTTTTCATTCTTTAGGATTTAAAATTCAGTACCAAAGGATAACCATATGCTTCTTCTATACAGAAGCATTGGTAAGTACATGTCATGGGAGTTCAGAGGAGCCGTAGGGCAGTATAAACAGTGAAATGCAGTAGGAATAGGCTGTGGCAGAATTACCATTGACAATTACAGTGGTAATCACAATGGGGCAAGGGGGTGCCCTGAGGATTTTTCAGGGATCATCAGCATTTTCAGAAGTGACTTGGAAGCAACTGTAAAGTCACTGTTAAGCAGCAAGTGACCTACAACTGGTGTAAATAATGGCAATGTGAGGTATTCTGAGCACATGCTTTTTATGTACAGTTTAATGTCCATGTCTATTGTTTGTCATGGAGACCATAGCGGAGATAGCTCGATGCTGTGAGGATGAGGTATCGAATCAGATTACGCTGCCAAGACTTTAGCAGATTAAAATTCTTGCCCTCCTCCCTATGCCTTGCTCTGAATTTCTAACCTAGGCGGAGGTGAAACACTAGAATGTAGTTGTTCAGCAAGTCCTGTGAACAGGGATGCTCCAGTTATTTTGAGAGCAGAACTATATGTTGTACCAGTTATACTGTGTTTGGACCAGCAGGAAGGATGACATAAAGTAACGTGACGAAGCTTGAACCCCTCTCTAGGCAGGGCTGTCTAGCAGGGTTGTATTCAAGGGCAATGTTCTCTTACATGTGCACGGTGAATGCTTTAATTAAGAAACAATTTGGGGGGAGAACATGGACATATTTAGTTGTTTTTCTCTTGCACCATGAACATGCGCCGCCCTTCACAAGACAACATGAGGCCTTTATAGGCTTATAGTTTATTTCACATAAAGCCTAACAGAAGATAATCTAGGCTAAAGAAGGAGGCATGTAACTGACATACAAAGTAGAGCTGGATGGTGATACTTAGCTCTCTGAATGTTCTCAAGAGCATTTGCTGTCCAAGCATACATCCCCTTGCAGGCGGGAGTGTTCATAGGGTATGCTGGAATGTTTAAGCTGTTGATCAAGCTAACTGAAGTGCCAATAAGAGTGAAAACAAGGTACCTGGGAGGGGGTTGTTCATGCTGAAGCCCAGGCAACCTCTGTATTTATGGCACTTGTCATCTAGACTAGCTCAAGTGTATCTGCACATGCTGCTATCAACTGTCCTGGACATACCTTCAGACTACAACCTTATCCTTGTGCCTTGTAGCAGTGAGAGGTGACAGCAGGGACTGCTGCCAGTAGTGTATTTTTTAGAATAATAGCAGTCTGTTATCTGTTATATGTAATTGTGCTTATTGTTTTATCTTTCCTTTTTTTTTTTTTTCTCCTCCTTTTTGTTACCAGAGTGCCTCTGATGGCTTTTGGAAGTCAGTTGCAACCCGTGTCCCAAGGGAACCTCATGAGATACGTATCCTGAATCCCTACTTCATCCAAGAGGCAGCTTTCAGCTTCATTGGACTGCCTTTCAACAACGGCCTGATGGGCAGAGGGGTAGGTATAAAGAGGAGCAAGCAACATCGAGGGGAAGGACAAGGAAGTAACATAGTAGCCTTACTCTGTTCTAACTCTTTCTTCTGGCATCCACTGTTGGCTATTGAAGGGGAGGGACTCCAGCTCCATCATGATGGCAGCGTTCAGCCCCCTTAAGCCACAGCAAGACACAGCCTCCCTTCTTTTTTGGAACCAGGAGATGGCTGTTACAGAACCCCTTTTCTGGTGCTGGAGCTCTGCGGCTTCCAGCACCAGCTAGACACCAGCTTTTGCCTGAGCAGACTCACGTGAGAGAGCGAGGAGCGGAAGAAGAGTAGTGGGGCAGCGACTGTGATGGTTAACTCACAGCAATAGCGTGCAGGACCCACCTGCCAGTCAAGCTTCCCCTTAAGGCCAGGACTGAGTTTTGTTGGAACAGACTAGCAAGCCTGTTTTCCTTCCTCAGCCTTTATAGTGTAGAGAAACCTAGATGTCAGGAGGCCTTTGTTTGTCCAGGTGACCAGGCCCTGTAGACAAACCTCAAGGCTGTTTGTCCTCGTTGCATAGAGCTCTAGGGCAGCGATGCACAGCCGCTCTCTCTTCTAGATTAGCTGACATTCTTGCTTAGCATCAACAAGACCAGAGTGGTTAGCATGGATGAAGTCTCAGGGATTGCTTGGAACTGCTGGGTGATTTTCTATCTCTCACAGCCTGCCAGAAGGGCAATTGTCTAAGTGCATGGAGAAAACTCCTTCCCAAAAGCTAGAAGGACCCGCACTGCTCCCCTGCAGACTGGCAGGGGACGAGGAACCCTGCTGTCTGCACCCTCAGCACACCTAGAAGTGCCATTCTCTCTAAAGGTCACACCACTGTTTTGCAATTTGCTGTCTTCAGGGACACTGCAGCCTAAAATCACTGATATTACATTGCTTTATGCTGTATCCCAGGTTTTACAGTAGAAGAAGGTAAAGGACTATTTAATGAGGCCTATGGTAAGAAATTCTGATCTTACACTGAGAAGATTTAGAAATAAAAGTTTGTAAGAGAAAACAACATGAAGTATATTTTTAGGTCTAGTTATTAACAAAATTGCTTCTTGGTCATCCAGTATCTCTCACCCCCTGTGCAGCTTTTCAGAGTGTTAGTGTGGCGAAGGTGGTGACTCAGGTTTTCTGGGTTATCTCCCACTGCAACACTGTCCTCAGAACCTGTCAATCGGTGGATTGAGAACTGGCTAGATGGCAGAGCTCAGAGGGTTGTGGTCAGTGGTGCAGAGTCTAGTTGGAGGCCTGTAGCTAGCGGCGTCCCCCAGGGGTCAGTCCTGGGTCCAGTCTTGTTCAATATATTCATCAATGACCTGGAGGAAGGGACAGAGTGCACCCTCAGCAAGTTTGCTGATGATACTAAACTGGGGGGAGTGGCTGACACAGCTCTGTGCTGCCATTCAGAGGGACCTGGACAGGCTGGAGAGGTGAACAGAGAGGAACCTTGTGAAGTTCAACAAGGGCAAGTGCAGGGTCCTGCACCTGGGGAGGAATAACCCCCTGCACCAGGACAGGCTGGGGGTTGACCTGCTGGAAAGCAGCTCTGCAGAAAAGGACTGGGAGTCCTGGTGGACAAGATAAGCGTGAGCCAGCAGTGTGCCCTTGTGGCCAAGAAGGCCAATGGTCTCCTGGGGTGCATTAGGCAGAGTGTTGCCAGCAGGTGGAGGGAGGTGATCCTGCCCCTCTATTCAGCCCTGGTGAGGCCTCACCTGGAGTACTGTGCTGGGCCTGTCTGGAGAAGAGAAGACTGAGAGGCGATCTGATCAACGTGTATAAGTATCTGAAGGGGGGGTGTCGAGAGGATGAGGCCAGTCTCCTCTTCGTGGTGCCCAGTGACAGGACAAGAGGCAAGGGGCAGAAACTGAACCACAGGAAGTTCCGTCTGAACCTGAGGAAAAACTTCTTGACTGTGAGGGTGACAGAGCACTGGAACATGTTGCCCAGAGAGGTAGCGGAGTCTCCTTCGCTGGAGATATTCAAAACCCGCCTGGACGCGATCCTGGGAAATAGGCTCTAGAGGACCCTGCTTGAGCAGGGGGGTTGGACTAGATGATCCCCAGAGGTCCCTTCCAACCTCAACCATTCTGTGATTCAGTGATTTATGTTTGCTGTATCTTGTGTTTCAGTCATTAGAAAAAGTATTACTCAAGTGGGTAAATTACTCATGTATACATGTGACATAGCTGTTGATAGAAACCACATGTGGCATTTTTGAGTGCATTAGCATAGCTGACAAACCCAGAGAGAAGCACTTTGCTTGAGCAAGGTCTGCTTGTTGTGCCCTGGACATTGTCCCTCCGTTTTTATCAGCATAGGAGATTGCCATGTTGCAGTATGGATTTGGACCAGATAGAATATTGTCTCATTTTCCATGTTCTAGTTATATAGTTCTTCAGAAATATTAGAGATGCTTGTTTTGTTCAAGTCAGATGGGAGGGTGCCCAGAGGTAAGAAGTTCACTTTTTCCTAGCATATCCTATGTAAGATCTGCAGACAAACTCAGCCACAGAGAATGGTTCTTTTGTGAAATATGAGCTTCTGGCAGTGTGGTGCTGTGTGTGTATGCACAGAAGCTCTCATGTGGTTCTGGAAACGCAGGACTTTCACTTGGAGCACTGAAGATATCTTATCTCAAATATTCCCTTCAGCTAGGAAGTTACTTAGTTCACCTCTCTTCATTCTCCAGAGCTTACCCTTAGAAGGACGTAGGCTTGACTTATCTTCCAGAAAATCAAGACTGCTGCCCCAGTGAAGGACAGAAATCATGAACCTTTGCCTTTATTTTCTCTGGATTTGGTTTTATTTTTAAACACATTATTTTAATACACAAGATATTAGTTAAGCTGAGAGGAGAAGAGAGAATCCGGAAATGAAAATGTTGTGAACTGAAGTTTATGAGGTTTTGATAGGTTGTTTAACACACATCAGATTGGGAAATGAAGGCAGCTTAATTGAAACCTGATGGTTCACTTCATGAAAGTCCATTTGGACATTAAAAAAATAGTTTATGGAGTTCTAAGAAAAAGCAGTCTTTGCCTGTGACCCCTGTCAGATTGTGTAAATTTTAGTTTACTCCTTCAAATGGGGCAGCCAAAGCTCTGCAGGTGCAGGTGGGGCTGGGCTGTTAGTGTAACCCATGTTGTCTGTGCAAAAACTGTCTAGTATAGTGATTCTGTCTGAGTCTAAAAACAGGGAGAGAGACTGCCCTATGAGTACAAAGTTTACAGCAAATGCCAGCTATAGACTGCTGTCGTGGAGCTGCTGGCCCTTCACACTCTAGTGGATTCTGCATAAGTGCAAATACTTCAATGGAAGCTGCTTCTGCTGGTGTAAAGAGGGGAGAAGAGTGTGAATTAGATCCTGGTGATACAGATTTGCTATGGACCTTTTTTTCACTTAAAGTTTAGATGGGAAGAGTGGAAATTAGAGCAATATAAACCACGAATCCATTTCTGATAAAGATCGCGGAGAGACCCAGCAAGAGCAGTTTGCCCTATGAGGCAGCTAGAGTGAGGAGTATTGCTCCACAAGAGGCTGACTGTGTGTGACCCAGCAACTGCACAGTGTAGCTGGTTTGGTTCAGTGTCAGGCTTTAGAGATGTGAGACAGCTTGGAAAACCTTGCTCAAGAGGGAGGCATATGAACAGGGAAAAGGCAAATGCTGAGCTCTTGTAAGCAAAGGCGTATTGAATGGTACACGTCCAGAGCTTCTGCTGGGGAGCCTGGATGGGGGCAGACTGCTGCCCCCATGCTGAAGTGCACTGCAGTATGTTGGGCAGGCTGCGCACAAGAGGATCAAGGCTGGGGATGCCTTAATCATCAAGGCCAACATGAAATCCTCATAAAGGGCAGTAATATTCCACTCCTCTGTGGTTCTGATGCCTAAATAAACTTGAGGGCTCCTTTTGCACACCACATATGGTAACAATGTGCTGCCAATTAACTTTGTAATTTGGGGGCTTTTTCAGCAAGGCTGAGGAGAGCTAGTAAAATCGTTCAGGGCTGATCTCAAAGTGTTTCTCCCAGAATTCAATAAAGGGCAAATGTAGTAACATCTTATATTTTGATAGTATAATTTGGGCCAGATGGTCCTGAAGGATAGCAAAGGGGTACAACACAGGCATGCATTTAGATTGCACATGTGGCATTGGTAGCCAAAAGCTGCTTTAGAGCAGCAGAGGCTCAACTGAAGCGTATATTTATCTGAGCAAGGAACAGAACTGGACACCCACAATGAACAGTGACTTCTCTCTGGGACCAGTAGAGAGTTTTGAGTGTTATCTTAGTCCATTTACCAAAGTCTTAAAGGAAAGAGAGAGCTGCGGTCTTCTCTTCTGTGGAGACAGGCGGCTGATAAAGAAAAGCTTTATTTTAAGATCCTGGCAATGTCTGGGGAAAATTAAAGAGATGTTGGTGCCCAAAGCTGATTTAGCACCAGGGAAATGAGCTATTAAGGATCCTGTCTTTGATTAAAGAATTCTCTCAAGGAGAGGGCACAGGCTTGGCTGCCTCACTAGACGATGATGTGTATGTGTGGTTTGTGTGTTGGTGCTAGTTCTGTGTACAAGTCTGTTGGGCTTTAAACCAAACAGCAGTGTGGTATTGCAGCTGGTAATCCAGCAGTGTGAGGTAGCCGGCAGGGCATTTCAGATGACGCATGCAAGTTCTCCGAGCTCTAAGGGCCCCAGGGCAGACTGATGTTTGTGCCTTTCTCTCTACTGGTCCAGTGCATCCATAGAATTACTTATGATGTCGCTTTTTCTGAGATTAAACTCTGCTGCCCAGAATTGTAAACCTTTGGTTTGGTCCTGTTTTGGAAATGGCTGAATCTACAGACTCCTTGTTAGGGAGATAAAGCATCCCCCTCTGGACTTCACTCAGCCTCAGCCCAAACTTGGTGAAGGTGGAGCCACATAGAGGAGTATTATCAGGCTGTGTCAGGTGCCCCGTCATGGATTAGCACCTCTGCAGAGTGCT